GAAATCCATGATGATGGTATGGCCATTAACCAATAAGACAATAAGATATGTCCATGATTTTCTCATTTCTTTTTCACTGTGTGGCTGCGGCCCGGCCAGCGCAGCGTGCAGCCCAGACACGATCCGGTATACGCGCCGGTCACACCAGCTCTATGACGACGTGATTGGTGGTGTCGCCTGGTCGTCGTGGAGGGGGTCCCCGGGGGTCCCCCATGTACTTCCGGCCCCTATCACTACTCTGGCCCTTGGCCGTCTCATCCTCTTCCTCCTCCTCGCCGCCGAGCTTGTCCTGGAGTCGCGGAGGGGGACGAGCTGCTCATCCCATTCTATCGGCGGACGCGCCCCGCCGCCCGCGGTGAGAATGTGGAGAAAGGGAATGGCCGTCCGCGGGGCCAGCCGCGGTGCGGAAGACACGGCCGGGCCGGCTGGGGGCCGGGGGGTCACCCGATCGCGATGCGCCCTGCGCGCCGCACAGCCGCCGCGGGGTCTGCCCCACGCGCACCTCGCACTGCGGGGCGAGTGCGTGAGCAGTGCGTCTTCCTGCTTCCTTCACGCGTTGCCGCCACCGCCGAGTGTGTGGTGATAAAACGAAACAAAAAGCAATGCAAAGTCTTTTGAAAAGACAGCGCGGGAAACAGCGGGCGGGCAGTGGCGGTGGTCAGAATACCGGGCTCTCCTCTCTCGCTTCTTTCACTTGCTCGTGATGGTGCGCCGGGCTTTTTCCGGTCAGGCAAATCGACATGAGAATAAATCCACGGCTGTCTAGCGACTCCACGCCGCTCTGCCCTGCCTGGCCGTGGCTGACCGACTGCTTTCCACGCGACTGATGTGCAATCACTGAGTGCTGCGCCCCCCCCCTCTCTCTCTCACTCGCTCGCTCGGATGGATGCGCGCAGCTCGGCGCAGTTCTGAGACTGACAGCCTGACGTATGACGACGCACGGCTGCGGGGCATCCGCGGTGGCTTGGCGTTCGCATAATGCGATGGACGCTGCTGGTCGCACCCTCGGCGCCATGCCTCGCCCCACCCCGCCCCGCCCCGCCTGTATTCCGCACACCGCGAGCTAGGGCGTTACGTGAGGAGCCTCTGGTCGCGCCGCCCTGCGCGTCCTGCGCGTCCTGCCGCGCGTCCTGCGGCGTCTCTCTGCTACGTGCCGTCCGCCAGCTGGCGCGGCCCGCGCGGCAGGATCTTGTCGCTTCCTGCGGAACAACAACAACAGTCGGCAGCAACAGTCGGGCGCACGCCACGGACAAGGTGAGACAAAGTGGCCCGCGAGAGCAAGAGAGAGTTTTCCGAAATACCCGAAGCTGACGGCACGGGGAAATGGCTATGGCGGTCATTCTATGTCGCGATAGCTTCGAAAATAGTAAGGCAAGTTGGAGCATTCATGACACTGCCCTGCTGCTGAGGCACCCCTATAAACATACACAACACATCGCTAGCAACGGCCCCACTATCGTCGGGGCGGGGCAGAGGGTGCAGTGCCCAGCCTATAGCAGGGGTGCTCCCCGCCACCCACCCGCCCCGCCCCGGCTCCCGGCTCTCATCCCGGCTGGGCTGGGCCGCGCTGATCCGGGCAGATACCGCCCTGGTGGCCCTCCAACTCCTCCTCTTACGCCCTCCAGCCAGCTGCCCCATGGGGCTGAGCGGCAACGGCCGATAGGATCCCGGATACTGGCATGAATTCATTAGAGCAAATGGCCAATGCCATGGGGGGTGGGGGCCTGCGGGGCCTGCCGGGCCTGCCATGGGCAGCGTGTAGCAACAATGATATCGCCGCCCCCCGGCGCGGCCGGGTCAAGCGGAGCTGCCCGACGGGCACCATCTCCAGCGCCGGCGGCGACAGCAAAAGTTAGCAAAAGGGGGCAACTTTTCTTTCTCCCTCCACGTCGCCCTTCTCTCCGGACTCCTCTTGCCCCTTACCGCCCACCCCGCGTCCTTTCCTCTCTGTCTTCGAATCTATGACGCTGGAGCAGCGAGTCGTCGTCATGACCGCTTATGGGTGAAAGCTCATCGCGGGCTCTCTTTTGTCACGCTGCTCATTGGGTGCGACGTGTCCTCCCTTGCCGCCCGGCCGCACAGAGAGGGAGAGGGAGGAGAGGGAGACGGCGACGGCGGTCGGAACGAGGTCCGGCGGTCGGCGGTCGGCGTGTTGTTTCGCAGAGGAATCATTTTTATTGTTTTATCACTTCTCCCCCAGCTGGACTCGCCGACCAGTTATGCCCTCGTCCATTGCGCCGGTCCAGCCGGCCGGAGGATATTTGTTGTCACTTTCGCCGGCCACGCCACGCCTCGGCGCGCCACAGCAAAGTAGCCTGTTGCGGTGGTCGGGGCCGTCGGCCCGTCCGCCGGGACAGGTGGCTGTGCGCAGTATGTGTGTGCGGGAAAGAGTGAGTGTGTGTCAGGTACCCGCCACCACGTACTTACCCAGCCAACCAGGTTCACGCCACCTCCACCACCACCCCGCCACCACCACTACCCCAACACCACCGGTCCGCGCTATTGCCCATAAAACGGCACCATATCGACGACTGCGCGCCGCTCCGAGCTCCCGGCCGGGACGCCAGCCCCCCGCCGCGTGCCATAACACAGGGACCTCCGCACTGGCGGGACGGGGCAGGGCGGGGTGCCGGAACGCCCGTTGCCCAAATCGGTTGGCCAGCAGCCCGCCCAGCAGGACCCCCCCCCTCCTGTCTACTCGCCCGTCCGGGTGTGATGGAGTTGTTTGTCTTTGGATTCCGGTCGAGTGTCGCTCTGGTATTCGGGACCGTCACCTGTTGCCGCTGCCTGGCTGCTCGCCGGCCCGGCCCCGGCCGGGGTGCTGAGGCGAGGCCCAGCTCGTCCTTTATGGGGCACAGGGGAGCGGGCTTTCTCCCGTGTGTGTATGTGTGTGTGTTTTTATTATTTGGTTCTCCCTAGTGGCTCCCCACCGGCCGGGTATATCTGTACTTTGCGTACGCTCATTTTCAAAATCGTTTTTCTGTTTTGGCTCACCGCACAGGCTCACCCCAAGTACTCGTTCAACTACGGCGTCAAGGACCCGCACACGGGCGACATCAAGAACCAGTGGGAGACCCGGGACGGCGACGTGGTCAAGGGCGAGTACTCGCTGGTGGAGGCGGACGGCTCGGTGCGCACCGTGACCTACACGGCCGACCACCACAACGGCTTCAACGCGGTCGTCAAGCGCACCGGGCCCTCGTACCACCCCGTCGCCTACAAGCAGCACCGCTACGAGGAGCCCATCCACCACACGGTGAGTTTAGTCGTTCCTCCATCAAGTGCGTCATGGCCTTGCCCTTGCCGTCAGTCTTCTCGCTTTGGAGTTTGCGAAATGTTTTGGCGACTCTTGTCCGCATCTCATCGCCCTTCCTCTCGCGCATGCTCAGGTGGCCGTCGCCAAGCCCAGCTACTACGCGTCGTACCCGAGCAGCCCGTCGTACTCCGCGTACTCCGCCGGCCAGGACCACTACGACCACGAGGACGCCGCCTCCTCCGCCTCGACCCGCAGCGAGGCCGCCAGCGCCGGATCGCTCCACCGCTCCTCCGCGCAGCTGTCGCCCGCGCCTGCCGCCGCCTCCCTGTACTACAACATCCTGGCGCAGATGCAGCACCTGGCCTCCCCCAAGAGGAAGAGGGTGGCGCTGCCTCAGTGAGGCGGACGCGACGTTATAGGGAGCAGTCGGATTTCATGAAATTGTAATTTTGTGTTTTACTCTCTTGTCACATGAGCACTCTGCCCATCATACAACCAAAGATTTACTTCTTTATAGAAAGCGGCTCTTGCTGCAATATTCTTGAAACTGTGCTCTGTGTAACTGTGCTAAAAATTACCTCTCGGACTTTTCTGTGTGGTTGGCGGCTGGTCACCCGTAGACTAGCTGCGGGTGACTGCGTCTGTGTATAGTAGTGTCTATTTATTTCCCGATAGGCGCCAGAAGGTGAGCGCGGCGAAGGTACTTACTAAAATTCACTGGTCTTGTCTTGATTGAAGTCGTGAGCTCAAAATTTACCACGGCAATAAACTAGTTGGGGGAACATTCTCAACCCTCTAGCTTATGTAACGAAAGCGTGTGTAATCAAACCGTGTGCGTTTGTGTGTCCTTGTAAAGTGTGATATTGTAGTCGGCTGGACTATAGCCGAGCTGTTGTTATTTTTTGTTATGTTTTAATAAAGTCTTTTTTGTTTTTATAATGCCTAGTCCTGTTTATTTCTCACTTGCCACCCATCAGCGAACATGGAGGTCGACCTAATTACGAATTGATACTGCAGTCGTTGAAAGCAGGTCCTAAGGTTTCCCTACAATAAACGTTGTTTAGGGAGGGATTTAAATTTGGCGTAAACTCGTCATTCACCCACCCACTGAGTGTGAGCCATCTCGTAGTGTACAAACGGCTGTCGCCACGCCGATGATGATAGCGCCTGCAACACGCAGAGTAGGCCAACCCGCCGAGCTGCTGTGTGGAGCCGGCGGCCTGGTGTGCATTTGTGGGGGCACCTTTTACAATCACGGGATTAGGTTGAAATAAACCTGTGCCAGGGGTCGGCAAACACCCCAAGTCGTGCGCTACTGGGACCATCCATGACTCGATCGAAAGCCCAATCACTGAGCAACCTAATATAGCGCCACATAGGAATAGTCTCCTCTGGCTTTCAATCGAGTTTTTGGCATAGTGTTTTCAATCACAACACGTAAACCTTACCAAACACATTATTGCCGTCTAAAAGTCGGTGATAGTCCTAATCGACCGTCCCGTAGGATGATCCCAGAACGGGGGACGCTGGTTGTGCCCTAGTTTCGTTAACGAAAATGTTTCCTACTTTTTTTCGAGGCTTTGTGTGGTATGCAATTCGTTGCTCGAGACAATACGGAACCCGCCCGCCCGAAATGGAATTAGCCTTACACATGGTGGGGGGCGTCGTGGACCAAATAATGAAGCCGGGGGGCCCTTTCCTCGAGGAAGCACGGCGGCCGGGAAGGCGTCGCCCGGGAGGCGTCGCGCACCGTGACAAGTATAAGACGCGCGCCGCAGCAGGCGCCCGGCGCACTCTCTGCGCGACACTCGCCGACATGGATAACCTGCAGGTAAACACGCACTAGCACCAGACCCACGAGCACGAGTGTGGTTACTGGTTAGGGACTAGATTTTCACAGAAGACAGTATTTGAGCGGGGACATGTTTCAAGAATATTTTTCTCAATGTGTGAATTTTTTTTTCCGGTTTTATTTTTTTCAAGATTTTCTGGATGTATTTCGTGTTTTTCTTATTTTTTTTTCTAGAGAGGTTTTAAATTTTTCGAAAATAATAACAGTGCTCTGTGACCCTGCTGCACGACATGCACTGCATGCACTCGTCCCTCTCGGAGCACTTCGTTAGTTAGGACAGTTAGGAGCACCGAATGCTGGCGGGCTCGCCTACCCGCACCCGTCCAGGCCAGGCGGACCTCTTTATCCCAGCTGCACTACGTAGCCGGTTCAAGAGATGACCGAGTTTGTATGAATACCGGGGCCAGACGACTAAGTTTCTGTGAATAAGAGAGAGAGAGCGAAAGAGGGAGTGAGTGAGAGGGAGAGGGGGGGGGAGGAGGAAGGGAGGGAGAGGAAGACGTAAACATAGGAGACCGAGTACCGTGGCTAATTCTCCTCATCTGGAACTCTCACAAAGTCCGTCCTCTGACTTGGTGGCAACCGCACTGCCTAGGCGCTGCCCGGCACAACTGGCGCTGGGATATGCATAGTGCATTATATTCGCACATCTTTTTCTTTTTTCTCTTCCCCTCCCCCTGACCCTGTACTTTGGCTACCGCAGGCGTTGTTGTGTGCTCTTTTTCGGGGTCTCCAAAACTTCCCCGACGTGGGAAGCTTCACACTCTTTGCACGCGCACGACGCACTTGGCGCGCACGTTTGCATCGCATGCCGGTGACATCACACCGGCCCCGCTCAGGCTGTGCCGGTTCGGCCTCCGGGTCTAACAATAGGATGAGCTGACCACAACAGCGCCGGTCTTGGCGGCGGGGCGAGCGCCACTGAGCCGCGCCAGTGACCGCGCCAAGCCGCAGAGTTTCACTCTCCATAGCAACGGCCAGAGGCAGGGGCAGTGCGTTGGGGGGAAGACCGCAACATATACTGCACACACACAGTCAAATTATTGCAGCCGGAACCGGAACAATCATCGTAAATAAACACAACGAGTTATAATTCGGTCATGATGAGCGGCTTGTTACATTGCATTGTTTAGCGTCGGCGGCGCGCAACGAGCTGAGTAGGGAGTTACGAGTAATGAAGGGTGCAACTGATGATGACTGTACTTGAAATGTTAACGTCGCATTTCCTCATTACGCGCTATACTGCCGTCAAATAGATCGTTTACCCATGGTCTCCTATGGAAACTGCCAGCACACCCCCCTCGCGCGCAAGCCAAGAGTAACTTGTGGGGTGCATTCGCAGCATTCGCCAACCCGCACGCTGCTAGAGCCAGCGGGGCTGCGGTTCCTCTTTTCTGACCTTCCGCCCTCTCTCCCCAAGTGGAGGAGGGAAGGCTTTCAGGACGCGCGAATCCTGTGCAGCAGGCTATTAATCTCAGTCTCTCTCTCTCTCTCTCTCTCTCTCTCTCTCTCTCTCTCTCTCTCT